GAATTCCAGTTTCAGCTCATTACATTCATTTCTTTCTCCTCCAGCTATGGGTAAATAGTAGGGCAGACTGGGCCTGTAGCCTTGGCTATCAACCAGTTTAGAAATAAAATTTTAACTCAAACCTGTCTTGAGATGGTTGGCAAAGCTTTTTATAGGAGCCAATGGCCAACATACAATTAAGAGATGGAAAGTTTCTATAAAAAAAACAAACTGTGATTCCAGCATCATTTGATATGTGATCCACAGTGCACCACGTCAAGGACATGGTGAAATGATGGAAAACAGTTTGAAGCATACAGGCAATTGACCATTTTAAATACCATCCTGGGTAAGATGATAAATGACATCCAACATCAAGGCCTCTTATCAGGAGGTTTTGAGGAGTGTGGATCCACCTCTTAATTGCTGGTGTTCCCAGGTCCACTCTGACCCGGGGTGGTAGCACCTGTTAGGGTCTCAGCTATGGGTAAATAGTTAACCTCCAAACTGGTGTCAAAACATTATGAAAGTGTAAAAATATGTTTCAATATCAGAAATACTTTGTAAAAAGTTATTACCAGCATTAAATTTTGGAAGAAAAATTATTGCCAGCAATACAGGTTTTAAAAAAAAATATTACCAGCAATACATTTTTGAAAAAAAATATTATCAGCAATAAAAATCTTGTCAGCATTAAATAACCCATTGAGGTTGATATGCCGTAAAACAAGCCAAACCAAACCAAACTAAACCATTTTAAACAATTCACTTGTTCAGTTTGATCAGACAACATTTTAGAATTTACTTATCCCTCTTCTGCCATACTCAGTTGGAGAATCCCTGTACACACACACACACACACACAAATATATATATATATATATATATATATATATATATATACTGAAGTCAGAGGCACAACAATGGAACTAAAATTGGCCCCAACTATGCAAATATATTTATGGATGACCTGGAATTAAATATTTTAAGAAGATACCACCTAAAACCTCTTCACCACCACAGATACATAGATGATTTTTTTTTATATGGACACTTCCAAAAGTACATCAAACATTTTGACAGCATCATCAAATTCACAATGGAATATTCAGCCATTCCATTCCATTTCTGGATGTACTGGTATGTCTAGACAACAACCACATCTCTCCTTCATTATACACTAAACAATACAGATGAAAATTGCTACCTCTCCTTACCAACCTAAAATATCAGTAATCTATAGCCAGTGTTTATGCATAAAATGTGTCTGTTCTGAAAATGGTGTCTACAAAAGAAAAATGCATAAAACAACTATTCATTTATTTTCTCAATAGAAATTATCCCCTTAAAACTATCAAAGAATAAATCATTAAGGCTTCCAAACACAATAGAATTGCTTTTCTTACCTACAAAACAAATTAGAAAAAATCCAAAATTCCCATGTTTTGATTTCAATTTAAATATACACAAAGTAACTGATATCTTACTAAAAGATTTCCAGTACATAAAACTTGACCACACAATTAATAATCTATTTAGTGAGAGTCCAGTTAATTCCAACCTCCATAGCTACATACACTCCTTACATCATCTAGAAATTCAAAAAGCACCCACTTAACAAGGCAATTTCATGTGCAATAAACCCTGATGCCAAGTTCATAAATATATTATCACTAATAGGATTTTTATGCCATGTGACACACATAGAGTAATCATGCTGTCTCCTTTGTCTTTGTCCAAATATATTTACTTTTTTGCAACAAATGCAAAAAAGAAAATTATATTGTTAGAAAAGGTACAAAATTCCATCTTCAGTTTAATAGCCATAAAGAAAACATCAAAGACAATATCAATTTCACTGTAGCTGCACATTTCAACCTACAAGACCATAGCATCAATAACACAAGATGTGTCC